GGATGATAACATTTTTTAAGCGGCACATGACACAACCTGGCAATTTATAAACAGCAAGTGCGTAGTACAGTGACACACTAAACCTTTTCTTTTTTAGTTTAAGGAGGTTGACTACTGACATGGTGTTAACATCTAGACCTCCAACGTCATTTTATCAGGACCATCATATGCTTTTCAAAAGACAACACCCTCTGCCCAAACACTGTGAATCCATGAATCCATGGGATTTTGAACTGCAGACGCAACTCAAGATATGGGTGACACCATTCTAGGAAGCCATACTAAAAGCTCAGTTGTTTCTGATGAGCACAGCTTGAAGAAAGCACAGTGAGCCCTGAGCATCCCAAGGGGATTGAGATATGTCTGCAGGCTGTGGTGACCACCAAGCAACTTCACTGGGTAGCTTGCTTTTCTCTCCAGGATGAAACCAAGACCTTACCTCTCCTAGCAATAAGATCATTCTACTCAGGTATGCATAAAGCCTATAGAGTGGGTTATTCACTGGTATGACTTGATTTTCTCACTTTGGTATCTGGATGATGGCTGGGCCCACTGGGGCTCATACAAAACCTGCAAAAGTCATGGAAATACACTCCGTTATTTCCATGAGCTTTTAATACAGTCTAAACACACTGAGAACTTAAAGACTCTCCAGATGGAAGATGGCTTATAAGTGGAAGATATGACTCTTGAATTGTATTGTTAACCCTAAACAGGATGGGCCAATAACAAGGGTGCAACCAGTAGGACCTGTCCTCAAGCAAAGTGTCTATAAAGCAAGCAGTGTAGCTGTGTGCCTCTGACACATCAGATCAGCAACAAGAGAGGAGAAACCATCTACTCCTGAACAGGAGCCTCTCCTCAGGTCATAAGAATGGCTGAGGACAGAAGAGGAGAAACGGTAGCTGGAGATCACAGGTACAGTTTTGAGGAAAGTTTGAAAAAGAAAAATCTCAGCCTTTCCAATTTGCCTCTTAATAAAGTGTACATGGGAATACAAGGACACACAGAACCATCTAATCCCAGAGTGACAGAGATTAATCTTCTTTACAGAATTGTCCTTAAAAAAATCGAACATCTCAAAACCAACCACAGGAATTACCTGATGCAAGATATCCCTGAACCTAAAACTCTAGATGCATCAATTAAAAATGTTCAAAAACCTTAACATCAGATTTAGGCACCAAAATACAAGATCAACTTTTCCATACCCTGATTTTTCCCCACAAAGGCTTCAGGTCATTAGGCAATTTCTTGACTGTTTTTGGTAAGAAAAAAATATTCTTTGGAGGTAGGTAATTTTCTGACTTTGCACTAACATATTTCTTGCATTTTAAGATGTCTGGACATACTGACCTCAATTCCCTTGTGAAAACATCAGTCAGAACATAAAAGTTGAAGTTGCTGATCTAACCTGATGCCTCTTCACTTGTAAAGAAGTTGGGTTTTTTTCAAAAGGAAAAATGGAAACTATGACTTCTTTGAGGGGAAGAAACCTGGAAAAAAAGTGGAAAATATACCTATCCTACCTTTAACTTATATTTTCTCTTCAGTATCATTTTGACTCTTTGCCCAGAAACTCCAACATAAGTTTCTTCATTGCAGAAGTCTCGAGAGAATCAAGTGTTTGCAGAAGGCTGCAGAAGCAGGGGATTTCCTACTCCATTTTTAGGTCATAGTCTAACTGAGCAAACTCAGCCCCTTAAAATTTAAGAAGTTTAAATAAGGATTTATACATTTGGAAAAATAGTGCTTGGAAACAAAATTTAAGTAAGAGAGAAAGAGAAAAGAATAAAGAATTTAATATAACCACAGGAAAGGAGAGGTGTTTCCTCCTTTCACTCTCTTTAATTAAAAGAAAAAAAAAACAAAAAAAAAACCCTGAAACTGAGAAGGATTTGTTTGGTCCTCTACTGTCATCAGTGCTGATGGCTCTGAGACAGGAAAATGGCAGGGATTTAGGAGCCTACTCACACTCCTTATTTCAAGCACCATACCCTGGTTAAGATGGGACATCAACAACCTCCCTAGGCAACCCATTCCAGTTCCTCACCACCCTTATAGGTAAGAATTTCTTCCTAATATCTAACCTAAATCTCCCCCTTTTTCAGTTTAAAACTATTACCCCTTGTCCTATCACTATCTTCTCTGATGAAAAGCCCCTCCCCAGCTTTCCTGTAGGCCCCTTCCAAGTACTGTAAGGTGCTATAAGGTCTCCCTGGAGCCTTCTCTTCTCTAGGCTGAACAGCCCCAACTCTCTCAGTCTGTCTTCACAGCAGAGCTGCTCCAGGTCTTTGATCATCTTGGTGGCCCTTCTCTGGAACCTTTGCAACAGGTCTATATCTTTCTTGTGCTTAGGCCATCAGCAAGTATTCCAGGTGTGGCCTCACCAGAGCAGAGGGATGAATCACCTCCCTGGCCCTGCTGGTGACACTTCTTTTGATGCAGCCCAGGATGCAGTTGCTCTCTGGGCTCCAGCACATGCTGGCAGCTCATGTTGAGCTTCTCATCTACTACCACCCTCAAGTCCTTCTCCTCAGGACTGCTCTCCAGCCATTCTACCCTAGCCTGTATTTGTGTCCGGGGTTGTGCCAACCCAGGTGCAGGACCCTACACTTGGCCTTGTTGGACTACATGAGATTGGCACTGGCCCACCTCTCCAGCCTGTCAAGGTCCCTCTGGATGGCATCCCATCAACAGATTTACTGAGGACACACTCAATTCCACTTTGTTTTTCGTTGTCACCTGATGAGACCTGCAATGCACTCTCAGTCCATGATAAATACCTGTGCCTACATGTAATGTGTCCAGAGAAAGATCCCATGAGGGACACTTCATGTGTGGTATTTAAGCCAAGATAATCCAATTTGGCAACCAAATAACAAAGACTAAGGTAGAGAGAGTCTATCATCCCTGCAAAAAACACATACAATAAACTTTGGAATTACCACAACTGGCAAAAGTTGACTTGAAGTGGGAGTTTATTTTCGGTTTTAATTTTCTATTTTGTTCTGCTTGCAATTAAAAATAAATGGTATAAGGTTGGTTTGTAAAAACACTACCAAACAAAAAACCTCTTCACCCAAATTAAAAACAACAACCCATGAGAGGAAAATACTCCACAATATTTAGAGTTCTGCAGGGACTAGTATACATCTAGGGATTTTCATTTTCCATGGCCTGTAAGTGTTATAATCTCTATCAAATGAGTGCACTCTGAGACCATGACTAACACCAGTGTTTGAAGTCTGATTGGTTGTTGGTTTCTTTCTTATTTCTTTAACACTGTTTTAAAACTCACACTGGATCTAAGAATTTGCAGGGATAAAGAAGTTTTCACAGCAATCTGTTCCTCTCAAGTCTAACCCACAGGTCTGTTATAGGACGTTGTGTCAACAAATGACAGACATCACAGAGTCAAAGGAACCTGTGTGAACAGCCACAACTTGTCCCAGAGACAAAGGCTTCAGTGCTGGAGAAATTACCTTCATAGAGATTAAAAGATGACACATGACATTCAGATGCCAGGACTACCTTCTTGGATTTTACCACTAGTGGTCCTTTCTTTGCATCCATTTAGTCCATGTCTTCCTCAGTCATGCTAAAACAATGCTTCACTGTCTAGGACTTCATTGGCTGGGATATTATTCCATTCATTACCATCAACCACTCTTTCTATTGCTTGAAAACAATAACCAGATAGGGAAAAAGGAGACATGTCCAAGCTGATGTCTTCCTGTTTCTGTCAAGGGGCAGGCTGGTTCTGTGACAGGTGACATGGAAAAGCAGCTCCAGCTGCTGCTGAGTGTCTTTGACACTTCTACCTGGAACTTCTCAGAGGGGCATACAAGACCTCTGAGAAAACACCCATGTCCTGGAATGTGTCTGAGAGACTTTGTTGCCTTGCAGACAGGTTGGAGCCATCCTCACTTTCCAAGCTGTACTTCTGAGAAATAAGTGACCCACAGAGCCCTGTGCCACCCAAGACAGAGATGGCAAGATAAGATGTCCCAGAGACCTCTGCCTTGACCAAGAGGCTGGGCTCAGTTCTCTTCTGAGGTCACATAGTTATCCTCAATTTGCATTTACTAATTGTAAATCACTATAATGATTAAAGAGACTTCCATTGACAAAACATAGCCAATACCATTGCTGCCAAAGTTATAGAGGTCTTTTTCTGTCACCTGAAACAGCAACCTGGGAACATTTATCAAAAAAAGAAGCAGCAGATGACAACCAATGTCCACGTTTGGACATTGACAGGAAAGGAGAAAGGGGAACCTACATAAATAAGCATCTCAGTTTGCCACAGACTATCATCAAACTGGTCTGGAAAGCAGATTTCTGCTTCATTGAGAGTTTTTAAAAGCATTGGATAACTAAGATAAACAGAGACTGAAGGGCTGCCTGAGACACATACAAAATTATTGAATTATGACATGTTTGAGAAGTTATTTACTTTATAGAGTATTTACATAAGGTTCACTTCCTCTTCATATATAAGCTCAAGTATTACAAAGAATATCTTTTTTTTTTTTTCCCTTAATGAGGGGACTACACTCAACAGCTCCACAAACATCCATAATTAACTTTTTTCAGGCACATTCCAAGCTAAGTTTTCCAGGCAGTCCCTTCCCCAGAGCACAAGCAATACCAAGGAAACCCTGCTCTCTCAGTAGGCCAATGAAGCACGTGTGGAAAGAAAACACGGGGTATCAAAAGGAAAAGGTGAAAGAGGAGATGGAGTATAAAGTGATGAATCTGAGGCTGGAGCTTTACTTATTGCTGTGCTCTAGGCACCCAACAGGCATTATGCCAGGCTCTTAAGCTCTCTGAACCTCAACTCACCACATTTTCAATAAATGCAGATCATCACATCTAGTGTAGAAATTTTCGATTGGGGGTTTGGTAGTGAGACTTCCTGGCTCTGTAAGTGACATCACTGTTAAAGTAATGGATTTCTCTCAATTAGCTGGCCCATCCACAACTCTTTTGCTTACCTGAGAAGTGTCATGGTTGAATATGACAGCATTCAGGTCTCCACAGTTATAATGCTTGATGAGATCCTCAGTGGTATATGGGGCCTGCAAACTACCAGCTCGGAGGCTTTCGTGTTGGAGCAGAGTTTGGTTTAGAGCAAACAGCACCTGTAGGAACAGGAGGAGTTAAAAACATTAGGAATCGAAGCAGCAAAGCCTGAAAGGCCAAACTTTGAAAAACTGTTACACCTCAAGTCTGTTGACCCATCCTAGCCCACAGTAACATGGGCTGATATTTAAGCAAGTGGAAGGGGAGTCAGATGCAAGGTCCCTTGTCAGTGGAAGAACTTATTAGAAACTTTCTGATAATCCACATAAAATATAACTTCACAACACATATATATATATTGCTCAGAGTTCATGGTATGAGACCTTTTAGGCTCTTTGTGGTATCTGGCTACATAAGAGGCACTAGAATGAAAGATCCTAAATTATGAAACTTCTTAATGAAACTTCCTGACTGTTTGTGGTCCACTAGGTTAAATCCAAAGCCCTCAGCTGGAAGGATTTTGATAATAAACAAAAATCTTCTGAACTTCTGAAGTCATAGTTGTTGCCCTAGAACTTTCTGCATGCTTCTAGTATCAGAAACAGTATAAAGTTCACTACTAGCCTCTCTCCTTTAGTCTTTCCCCCTTCACCCACCCTTTTGCAAAGTGAACAAAGATACTGAATTGAAACACTGTCCCATCAGACTGTCCAGATATCCCAGTTAAGTGTCCCCATCCCAAACCAGAAAATACCAACAAAGCAGAAACATTCGTTGCTAGGTAAACTTAGGAAAGTATATATAAAAAAAAGATGTCCTTAAAGATGATTTTTTTTTTACTTGTATTACCAAAAAGGCTACTAAATTTCACATGAATTAACACAAACCTTTTTATATTTGTGATAGACTCTGGGAGTAATTTATACCAGTTACTGAATCACCAAGCCTGGGCTTTTTAAATTCAGCTTTACAAGAACCTTCCAAACAAACTTGATAAAAAGTAGATGAATAGTCACAAGAACAGAATTTCAGAAAAATAATAATGATAATTATAATAAAAATAAAAAATAAAAAGTAAACAGTAGTAGTAGTAGTAGTATAGATGTCCTTAAAGATGATTTTTTTTTTACTTGTATTACCAAAAAGGCTACTAAATTTCACATGAATTAACACAAACCTTTTTATATTTGTGATAGACTCTGGGAGTAATTTATACCAGTTACTGAATCACCAAGCCTGGGCTTTTTAAATTCAGCTTTACAAGAACCTTCCAAACAAACTTGATAAAAAGTAGATGAATAGTCACAAGAACAGAATTTCAGAAAAATAATAATGATAATTATAATAAAAATAAAAAATAAAAAGTAAACAGTAGTAGTAGTAGTAGTATAACAGTCTCTTAATACAAAGTTGTTACAGAATAACTACCATACATAGATCAGTGGAGGAAAAGCAAATGTTATTTTTTAATTTACTTCTAAAAAACATAAAGATGGTCTTTCAATTGAACCTGTTATACCTCAGCTCCATAGCTTCCCCATTAAGATCCAAGCCTAAAAGATTTCCTTGCCTAGATCTAAGGAGCTCTTCAGGCTTTTCTACAAAGAGATCAGTCTTTCCCAGGACCACAGCCTGAAGTTAAGCATCCTCCTAACTGAGTTTTCCCCTAATTTAAAAAATCTGCAAAAAATACAGTTTGAAAAATTTCTAACCTTTGAAAAGATCTGAGCTCTTTGTCTTTCCCCCAAGGGCTACAGCTTGAAGAGGAAATGGTTCATCCCAGGATTTCCTGGGGATTCTAAACATTTTGACTAATAAAAAAGAAAAAGCTTAGAAAAACGGTGACAGGAAAACTGAGAGCAGAGGTTTTCCCAAAATGCTTTTAGTAAAATCCTTCTCATTTTTTAAACAATGGATGTTGCTGGATTTTTATATACAAAAATATGTATACACATAGTCACACACATATACAAACTGCCAACAAATCCTGAGGATAAGACAGTGTGTTTTACAATAAAATATTAAGGAGGTGATAAACAAATCCTTACTTTACTCCTAGTGCCTCCTCCCCCCCTTTTTTTTTTGTTTTTCTGGCTTCCTGGGGAAACCAATCCTGTGCATTAATGCTCTGGGTCTGTCTGTCTGTCTGTCTCCTCCTAATAAATTTGGAACCTATTAGTTGATTCCAGTCACATCTGCAGAGGGTTAAAGGTCTTAGAGAAAATTGCCTGTATGTTCCTTGAAATGAAGTGCTGGTCTGCAGAAAAGCCCACTGTAAAAGTTCACTTCTTATAAGACACCAAAGACTCTTCATGAGAGAGAATGAGTTATTTGGAGCCTACACCAGTGGATGGACCCTCATGCAATAGACCCCAGATTTCATTAGTGCCAGGACATGTGTCTCTGCTCCTTGGTCCTGAGCAGGTTTGGGACCTGGAGGTGATGGTGACCACCACCTCAGCTCCAGCACATGGCTGCTACTGCTTGTGGGAGAGCTCAAAATATCACCCAAAAAACAGCTTGAGAAATTTTATTTTAAGAGGGAAGTTAAAATTAGAAAATCAAACACTTGAATTTGCTAAAGGAAAACTGTGACCACTTAAACAGATTTCTAGAGAACCCCTGTTTAACCAAGCCATAACCACCATGGTTTTTGGTCAGGCAGCTCAAAACAAACTTCAAGAGAAGCAGAGTCTTGTCAGAGCAGCGTGCTCGTTGACTGGATTTGTAGACCATTTCCTTCAGAGTCAGGTTAAACCATCTTAAAACCTGCATTTATTTTTCCTTACTGTTCAGATAATGCCACAAAAACAATGCTGTTTCCTTCTCTCTATCTTAATATCAGTGACCCCACGACCTCCAGCCTAAACCCCTAGCTGAGTTAAATCTCCCAGAGGTGCCCAAGATTACTGAACAACTGATGACTTCAAAATAAACACACTCAGAGGGACTGCCTATACACAGTCCCATCTAATAAACAGAGCAGACAGTATTTGTTCTGGGAAGTGATGGGAAGTTATGACTCTGGCTCTGGGAAAGTACATTCTTATTCATGCAATTTATGGTCCTCACATCGTGGCACTTTGAAAGCCATTTTTGGGTGGCTGTCTCTGGCCCTTCATTTACAAACAAGCAACCATGGACAACAGAAATGGTATTTCACCCTGCCAGGAAGAAGGCTTTTTATCCAAGTGGTGTCATTCTCCTGTGCAAAGCAGCAAGCCAACACACAGATATTATTCAGGTGTTTGGAGACACCAGCTCAGCCCTTACAGCTGACACATGGGTCCTGTTTTACTGCCTAAGAGAGTAGGTAACCACACAGCAGCAAGAACCACCAGGCTAGACATCCTAGAAGATGTTTACCATGATGTCCATCTCAAGGATAAAGGGGCTGGACCAGTCATTTCTGCAATGGGAAGATCAGAGAGAACGCTGCAGAGCCAGGACAGGGAAGATCTCTTTCATCACTGATGATTTCACCTGAGAGATCCCCAACAGGAAGGGACGTCTGTGGGAAACCCAAGTTTCATATATGGGTGAACACAACTATTGCCACCAAATCAGCAGAGACTAGCCTTTGTCACTCATGTGCAAGCACTCCAGGCCTCAAAAAGGGACCAAACAGGCCCATTGAAGGCCATAGCTAACAGCTTTACTGATTACCTTGACACTCAAACCGTTATTTCCCCTTCCCACATCTCTGGATTTCAGAGCCAGGAGTCACACATAAAAAGAAGACATGCTGCAAGTCTACCTCATACATAAATCAACTTGAACATTTAAGGCATTTAACTTTCATCTTCAATAGAAAAGCCCCAAAGCCCTTAAATAAAGGTTGTTTTTTGGGTTTTTTTTCTGATTAAACTCTACTGGGTCTCAAGGTTTTAAAGGAGGCTGGCATTGCATAAAACCCTTGGTATCAGCAGTTGTGTGCATCTCCTTGAGACAGTTGGAAGGTCATGGGAGAAGCTGGAGGTTTTATTTTATGTGAGATTTTAATGAGCTTTGGCTTTTAGGCAAGTAAATCCTTGCTGTATGTGATAGCTAAGAGAAGAAATCATGGCCTTTGTACAAGAGAGATTTCTCCTTATCCACTTTATGTGCATTTGTCCTTAGTTGAAGAGAACTAAAAAAACCCAGAAAACAAAACCCAAGCTAACCCTCATCAAATACAGCATCATGCCTGTCAGCTGTTTATAAGGTCTTTTGGTCATGAAGTCCTTCATGGCATGAAAAAACGAGTATGATGCTGTTCAATGCATGGATTCTTTGCCATGCTCATCACTGAACGTCAGCTCAGGGATGCAGAGTTAGCTGCATCCTTTCAGTTCTACATTTTTAATACTTTTGCATATGCATGATTTGGTTTTGGCTGATTAGCCTCAATGCCTTGTCAGAAACAAATTTCTGAAGCACTCTGACAGCAGCTTGACTTTGTGCCTACCACCTTGTCTAGGAGGCAACACTATGGATTTCTAACCACGTAGAAAGGTTGCCAGGTCCAACTCCTCAATTTGTCTGACTGGTCCTAAATGGTGCCACAATGGAAGAAGAGCTTCATGAGGGAATCTAAGAGGCTATCATAAAATAAGACAAGGAAAACTTAGTACCAGATAAAATACTTCAGTGGTCCCAAACCATCTTATGAAATATATTGCTAATAAAATAGATAGCAAATTCAGGAGAAACAGAATGTCCTGGTTTGAAACAAATTTTGTGTTAAGCTGAAGACAAATGGACCTGTGTTCTTCTGGTGTGTTTGGTGTGTGGAAAACTGGAGAATGAATGGCAACCCTGAGGAAACTCTCAGGCCCAATTTTGGTGCTTAGACCAATTTCACTCTTACGTGATGGGGAAGAAATGCCTTTCCAGTCCTAAACTCAACAAAGCTGAACCACAAGCATTGCCTTCACAGGATTCCAGTAGCTGGAGTTACTGGATGACCTCTGCATAGAACCATGATTAACAACAATACCACAAAAACAACTACTTAAATTTCATACTATGATGTCAGCTCTTGAGTAGGCAACGATTGTTTTCCTTTGCCCCTTCTTTTGGACATGTGCCACCACAATGCAAATACTAAATAAGCATTACTGGAAGTGTTTGAGGGACT